TACCCAATTGAAAATTTAAATTCGCAGAATATTTTTCGTTTGGGATGGACAGTAAGAATTCAATAAACAGTGAAAAAAAATTACACCCAAGCATTTTATAATTTTAAATATTGGAAGATATTTCATTTATTATCATGAACTTAATTTTTAATACCACATAGCTAAAAAAAAAAAATTTTAACAGATTTTTTTTTTTTTAAAAAAGAAAAGATTTAAAAAAATTAGCTTCTGGTGATCAAAGGCATTAAATTAAGAGCATTACAAGGAAATAAACTGGCGGCAAAAAGTACTAATGAACAATTATTGCATTGTTTTCAATACCATTTACAACATTTAATCATTCACAAAGAAAAAAATTTTAAAAATTAATAAATTGAGAATTAACTGGCCTTTAATAAAAATGGTTTAAGTTAAAAAACATTGAACTGAAATGTTCAGCAATAAAATTTTTGTAATAATTATTTATTCTACATTTTCATAAAGGCTCTGATTAAATGAAGCAAATGGTTATCAACCAAATCGTTATCAAACCAATGTTGAAGTAAGGATGAAAAGTAATTTCTTATCACAAATCAATACATGATCATAAGTACAATTGTATAAGAATGAATAGAAATTAACAGAATTGAAATGCGTTCGAAACTGGATTTGGATTAAGAAACGATATACAGACTCCTGCTTTTCTTATAGTCTATAGCTTTAAAAACTGCACTAATAGATGTCGGTTTCTTCAGTTAAGGGATCTAAATGGTTTTGATTTCATTGAAAAATCATTAACATATAACTTTTATTTTTTTTTTTTTTTTACTTTCTAAAACTTATCAACAAACACTTTCGTGAAAAATCGCCAACTACTGTTATAATTTAATGTTTACTAGAGCTAAAATTTGAAGTAAAAAAAAGATACTCAATGTCTTGCGTGCATTTAAATCATGTTAATGACTTGAAATATCGTTTAACCGACAGTCAAATATGCTCTTTTTAAAATCATAATAGATCAAAGAAATTGAGAAATAAAAGTTGTTTTTTAATAAAACTTAATTGTTTAAATTTTTTTTTATTTTGACTAAAAAAAAATTTTTTTGAGCTTCAAGTACTAGCATAAATTTAAGCAGCATGCTATACTCAAGCCATTTACCAAATTTTAATTTAATGGGTTTATTGGAGATTGAGAAATCTTGCGCGCAAAGTGAAAAAAATTGAAATTGAGAAAAACAGATTTAAAGACAAAAATCTTGTGTAAATAACTTTAAACAAAATAAGTAAGTCTGCAGGCGATTTCAATTTTAAAAATGGATAGGTTGTTTTCAGTTTCCAATGAGTGGGCTTCAGTTCTTTTGCTGTAACTTTGATCTAGCATAAATGTTACACCAAGTCATATGATGTATATGTGTATCGAAAAGTAAAGTCGATTAAATCAGACAGTTATCTGAAATTTTTGATCTCAGGGTAAGATTTTTTAAAATTTTTTTTAATCTTTTTTGTACATAAAAGATTACAGTCTACATGAAAGATGAAAAGACTGTCATTTTTATCCATAAAAGTAACATTTATAAAATTTAGAGAGAGAAAGGAAATTTTTAACAAAATAAATTTTTTTCTTATCAATGCATAAAAGAATATATATATTGAAAAGAAATTACATATTGCAGATTTTTCGCGCTTAGAGACCAGTTATCGCATCAAAAAAATAAAAACTTAAAATTCTTTGCAATAACTGAAAAAAAATGTAAAACATGTATTTACGACGAAATCACACGAATCGGACGCATCAAAGGGGTAAACTTCTAAGTTTCAAGGTTTGTCTTTTACATAGTTATCAATAAGTGTTATCAAGTAAAAAAGTGTTGTATGGTAAAAAAAAAAGGTTTCGCCTACTTTCGATGTACATCTTTCCGTAAATGAATTCATCTCTCCAGTTATCATAGCATTGCATACAGCATTTCGCACGTCGTTTATTCACATAGGAACTCCCGTTTCGACTTCATAACAATGTAATCCAAAAATAAAATCATCAAAAAATGCCAGTACTTGTACCTGTTATCTCCATAATTTTGTTGACTAGTATTGCTTTCGAAATATTAAACTGAAAAGATACTTAGTTCAGATTGAGTTGTTTTATACTTGCGACTTCTACATGATTCGTTGTTGAATAATTAAACCGTTCGTAATTCTTTTTCACTGAACATTTTTGGACATAATCGCTTTCGAAAGGTCTTATATTTATTCTCATCGAAAAAATAAGATAAAAAAATCTATACCATTAGCTTTAAAACAAATTTAATCTCTGCACTTAATACGTTATCAAGATAAAGGGCACTAATAGATACAGTAACTAGTATTACTGCATCTATTGTGTTATTGTATACTGTTTCATTCTTATTTATTGTTTCCGAATATAAGCTTAAAATGTAATTTTAGAAATAATGCATTTGCATAGTTATCATATAATTGTGAATACAGTGAATGAATAAAATTTATTTTTTATTTATTTGAAAAAAGTAAACACTTTTGTTGTATTAGCTTCATTTAGTATTAATGTTACTTTGTTAATGTTGCAAAAAATTAAATTTTGTAAATATTTATTTTATTTAGTAATAGTCGAAAAAATTTTAAATTGTAAGGTATTTTTTTTTACATCATCATAGTTGACCATCTATACTAGATTGCAGCTACTATTTTGGGAGTTAGAAAACCGAAGAAATGAATGTTTATTCAGAGGAAGTAGTTTTTGTATCTTATTTCGTAATATAATATCATCAGTAGTAGTAGTCAATTAGCATGTTTGACGTCGCCTCCTCAAACCTTTAAGATTGAGCCCTACAACATAAAGATCTGATCATTAAATCAAAAGTCATTCATGGTCAATCGTTTTTGTTGTTGTTTTTTTGGGCTTTTGACTTAAAATTGTACATTTTGAAATAATTATTTTGAATGATTTATATAATGAAATTGCTATAAATGAAAATGATATTATTATGACAACAGAGATCATAATTTGTAATTAAAACTGTAAAAAAAAAATGAGAAAAAATTTATTTCACAAATACATTTCTAAACATTAATTTGAATATGAATATATTTCTTCTTTTTAAACATAGTATATTTCTTCTTTTTAAACATTTTAATCATCACTTTACAGACAATAATATTAAGCATTCACTATCATCATACAATAATATTTTTAAAAAAATAATTAAGATTACTTATAACACACAAATTTAGCTTACCGACTGACAACCATTTTCTCATTTAACTTTGTTATAAATTTGAACAAAAAATATTGTAAGAAANTTGTACTGCAAATATCAATAAGCGTTGTATAGTAAAAAAAAAGGTTTCGCCTACTTTCGATGTACAACTTTCCGTAAATGAATTCATCTCTCCAGTTATCATAACATTGCATACAGCATTTCGCACGTCGTTTATTCACATAGGAACTCCCGTTTCGACTTCATAACAATCTAATCCAAAAATAAAATCATCAAAAAATGCCAGTACTTGTACTTTTACCTGTTATCTCCATAATTTTGTTGACTAGTATTGCTTTCGAAATATTAAACTGAAAAGATACTTTGTTCAGTTGTTTTATACTCGCGAGTTCTACATGATTCGTTGTTGAATAATCAAACCGTTCGTAATTCTTTTTCACTGAACATTTTTGGTCATAATCGCGTTCAAAAGGTCTTATATTTATTCTCATCGGAAAAAATTCTATACCATTAGCTTTAAAACAAATTTAATCTTTGCATTTAATATATTATCAAGATAAAGGGCGCTAATATATACAGTAACTAGTTTGTTACTGCACCTATAGCGTTATTGTACACTGTTTCATTCTTATTTATTGTTTCCGAATATAAGTTTAAAACGTAATTTTACAAATAATGCATTTGCATTGCTATCATATAATTGTGAATACAATGAATGAATAACATTTATTAATTTTTTATTTATTTGACTTTTGTTGTATTAGCTTTATTTAGTTATAATGTTTCTTTGTTAATGTTGTCCCATACTTTGGTCAGGAGAGTGATCCAAAGTTTGAACCCCTAATGTAATTTATTTTTTTTTTTTTGCAAATTTCCCCATATCATAAGCATTTTTTAAGCAAACTGAAAAATCTGCACACAATTATAAAATTTGTTTATCCAAAGATAAATCCATGCAAAAAATTAAATTTAATAAATATTATTTTATTTAGTAATAGTCGAAAAAATTTTAAACTGTAAGGTATAAATTTTTTTCACATCATCATAGTTGACCATTTATACTAGATTGCAGCTACTATTTTGGGAGTTAGAAAACCGAAAAAATTTATGTTTATTCAGAGAAAGTAGTTTTTGTATCTTATTTTGTAATATAATATCGTCAGCAGTAGTCAATTAGCATACTTGAGGTCGCCTCCTCAAACCTTTAAGATTGAGCCCTACACCATAAAGATCTGATCATTAGATCAAAAGTTATTCATGGTCGGGGTTTTTTTTTCTTTTTTCGGCTCGACTTAAAATTGCACATTTTGAAATAAAATATAACTAAAAAAATCTTGATGAAATTTTAACTTTTAAATTATTATTTTGAATGATTCATGAACATTGCATTGTTATAAATGAAAATAATATCATTATGACAACAGAGATCATAATTTGGAATTAAAAATGTAAAAAAAATGAGAAAACATTGATTTTACAAATACATTTCTAAACATTAATTTGAATATGTTTCTTCTTTTTACACAGAAAGTTTTTTTTAGTGGAAAATAATTAAAATTAGCAAAAAAATTATTTTACTAAGTTGTACTTGAAAAAGCCTACATGAGTCAAGCATCATCACTTTACAGACAACAATATTAAGTATTCACTATCATCATACAATAATATTTTTAAAAAAATAATTAGGATTACTTATAACACACAAATTTAGCTTACTGACTGACAAGCATTTTCTTATTTAACTTTGTTATAAATTTGAACAAAAAATATTGTAAGAAAAGAAACATATTTCCATATCATCCATTTATTTGTATAAAACATCATACTGGACAATAGCTTCCTATACAATTCAAGAAAAGCAAAACAAATTTATACAATGGAAGAATTCTAATTCATTTAGTAATCCATTATACATGACAACAAATAATGTTGACAAAGATAATAACATCAAATGCAAAAAGATAAAAAAAGAAAAAAGAGTCCTCTTAAAATCTGGAAGAATACGAAGGAGGAGGTACTGAATAATTGTTGGCTGCAGAAAATCTGACAATAGGAGGTGGACTTGAAAATGTGGGGATTTGTATAGTCAAAGGTGCAGTCGGAGGTGGACTCTGGACATTCGTAAAGGATGGCGCATGCTGATTCTGAGGACGCCAATAAGGATTTGGAGACAAGGCAGGTGAAGGAAAAGGAGAATATGCATTGGGTGGAATATACATAGCTGGACTAGGACAAGGGCTAAAAATAGCTGGAGACATTGGTGGAGCAGGGGACATAGGTGGAGCTGGAGACATAATACCAACTGGAGTTATTTGGCCAAAGATGTGTCGATTTGGAGCATTATTGTGGCCATTTTGGAACAATATTTGTCCTGATGCATTCTGTATCATTTGATGAGATGGTCTTTGAGATGGAGGGAAATAACAATTGTTTCCATTAGGTGGAGGAATGGGTGACTGCAATAATAGTCTCTGCGAGTTAAGATTCGGAGGTTGGCGAGGCACAAAAGGCTGTTTAGGATTGAGTAAAAGTGTGCCTGGTCTAAATTGTGTTTGGGATGAATTACGTGGAACACTGGATGATTGTAAATGGTTCTGTGTCGGTAAGGATGCAGGTTGCTTAAGTTGAAATGATTGCACGGGTGTAGTATTTGTGGCATTGCTATGCGAAGGTAATGGCTTGGGTTCTAGATAGGGAGGTGGAGCTGAGATCCAAACTGGAACATTATCCAAACTGCCACTGTTCTTCTGGACAGAATTTCTATTGTTTTGATTTGAGTTCCTGTGGTAATTAGTCGAATTTCTATTGTTCAGCGTTTCACAGCTGTCGCTCCGAGTATAAGAAGTATAACCTAAATAAATTATAAAAATATATTTAATGGAATGATTCAAAAAAATCTTTCATTTACTAAGTTATAAAAAGTCAAATGATATTTGAAACAGTTGATAGCAGCAACATAATTTTAACAGTTTTTCTTTAGCATGTTTTTCTTCTTCTTCCTTATCCCCAAAATTAGCAGGGCTAATCTATGTCCATGAAATTCATCACCCGGAGGAAGTCGGCCACCATAAGTGTTATTAAGAATGTCCCTTTTGTCCAGACCTAGACAGTCCAGTATATGTTGGGGGGAAGCCTGCATGTTGTGGCACCTGGGGCAGTTAGGGTAGATTTTAATACTACCCTCAAAAGAAAGGGACTTAAGGTGGCCGTTGATAAGCCTGGTAAGTGCAGTCTGGTCAGCATGTTTTTAAACATAGTTATTATTTTTTTTTTAGAGATGGTAACAATTATGATAAAATTTTGACATTTTGTCAGAATTTTAGAAGCTTTAAATTCAAAGAAGTATGTAATTTAAGTAAGAGTTTAGAAAATTGTGTAAAATAAAAAAAATTATAATTGTAATAGTAAAGCTACTATCACTTTTTCTGCCATGACTAATAAAGTGGATAAGTATGTGTTTCTGAAAAGCATTCAAATGATAGTACTAATTAAATTTAAGATCAAAACAAAAAATAACATTTTAAGGAAATTTCAAAATTATTTTGCAACATAGAAGTGATTTAGCTGTTCATTTTTATATTAGCTTTTCGATAAAGTTGTCAGGAAAATGAGCTATTCAATAGATACATTTAGATATTGAAGTGAAATTACTAAAATCATAATTTAGTAAAATTATTATCCAATGCGAAAAAATAAATATATAGTTTCAAATACTTTAAGCATAGTAAGCATAGAATATAAACTATTGTTGAGAGTTTTCAACATCTGAATAAAACCCACACCAGACACACACAAAAAAAAAAAAAAAAAAAAAAAAAAAAAAAAAAAAAATTTCAGCAAATTTGCAAGGACAAGTTTTAATAACATAATTATTATTGCATGTTACAATTAATATTTCCTGTAAGAAAATTTTAAATTTTACAATTTAATATAACACTTTCTATTTAATATCTGATTTATAATAAAAAATATCACTTGTAATAAAATTCTTATATCGAAACTTTCTATAGTTTCTTAACTGGATCAATTTTTTACTTAAATAAATTCTGTGATTTAATTGGATTTTTTTTTCAAGAAATAAAATTTTATTTTACTAAAATAAATTCTCATTACTCTTACAAAATGTACTAAATTTTATTTCAATTTAAGTGAATTTTAGGAACTTTATTAAATGCTAGCAAAAATATATAAGTCAAATGTTTAACAATGAGACAAAAAAATAACTGAATAAATTATTAAATAGAAATAATTACATTTATTATCTTTTATTTATTAAACTTATGGTACTTCAGTAACCAACAATTTTTAAACGCACTATATTTAAGCTTTATTTTACTTATTTATATACACTTTATATCAGACCAGCTAGAAATGTAAACATTTAAAACTTTTTCTACATTTTCATATTAGTTTTGTTTCATCGATGTATTTTTGTGTTATTTGTATTTATTAACTAAAAATATAATACTAAACAAGTAGAACCAAACATGACATGTAACATTGCCTTTCAGTTCTTCATTGGTTTAGCAATATTTCACAGAAATTTGAAAGAATTGTTTATAGCACTTTTCATTAAGTCATAGCAGAAATTTTTTTTTATTATTGAAAGTTCAATTTTTTTCCAGCTTCCAGCTCATAAACTTAAATTTTTTTCAAAGTTACTGCCTTCAAAGAGTTTATAGGTTTCTTCATAGAAAACTTGATAGATCAATATTTATACATTATTTAAAGAAACATAACTTTTTTTTAAAAAAAATGAACAAAATACTACACACTTTATACCATAATTGTCAAGTTGTAAAAGTCACTATTGAAAGTACTTTCTCAACAAAAATAAACCTTAAGGGCACCCAGAAAGAAAAATTATTTTCACAACACTGCTCAATGTTTATTTTCAAAATAAAACTTAACATACAAATATAGAAAAGTACGAACCACAAGAAAATACTTACTGAATGTTCTTTTTTCATTGGGAGAAATCTTATAAGGAAGTACTTGCACCTCATCATCATCTTCAGATTCACGAACTCTGTTTTTGCCTCTTCGCTTCAATTTAGCTGCTCTTTCCTGTTCATCATCAGAATAATCTAAATGCTATTAAAATTAAATAAATACATTACTCTCAACATTGGAGAAATAAAATAACGCAGATTTTACAAGCGAAATACTTTGGGCTATGAGTAAAGTTTTGATACATCATGCATAATCATGTAAGTCAAAAAGAGAAATTCAAAATTGGAAATAATATTAGCACTTATATTTAGAGATATAAATTTTTTTTACATAAATCTTAATCTAATGAAGATTTTTTAAGGCATTATTTATAATTACTTTAACTATATACACTCAACATACTGCAGTACTGGCAAAAGCACCACCTGTTGAGGAATATGATAAGTATATTTGTTGCAATTAATGGATATTTTATTGCAAAAAAAATATTTTTTTAATTTCTTCCACTAATAGGAGAAAATTGAGAATATACAGGTAAACAGGAGATAGTCGTAAAATACAGGAGTCTTCATTAAAAAAGTAGGAGACTTCGCAGGTATGGAAATAGAAAAATTTTACAAAACAGACCTAGACATTACACCAGCTTCATTTAGATAGAGCTCATAGCTTCACTATTTTTTTGAACTATTTTTTTATAAACAAGATTAGCCATGGGTTCAAACAACCAATAACTAAAAGAATTCAAAATTCAGCACAAATTTTCATTGGTACATTTGGTAAAAAAAAAAGGAGTAGGGCATTGAACTGAATACTATAAGTAAATACAATTAGATAAAAAACTCAAGAATATGCTTAGTATTCAAAATAATGTTGACAAAATAAACACCAACGATTCCACAAAAACCAGGATTGGCAAAATCATAGCTTTACATATTTACACTGAGTAGCCAAATTATTATAACCACCTGACACTTTTACGCAAAATGAGCTATTGCGTTACAGTGATGCCTAGAAAGGAAGGTAGCAACAAGAAGGGAGTGTGAGACAAGTGAACCATCAATTGCATGCAGGGGTAATTGTGAGCCCAATTCAAAATTCTGGAAAATTTCTTGAGCAAAAAAAAAAAAAAAAAAAAAAAAATTTACATTTAAAAATTAGAAAGAAATTTAAACAAGGTTTTTTTCCTCAATATTTCTTAGCTTGCTTAAAATATATTAAAAATTTTAAAGACACCTATGAAAGACCCGGAGAAGTAATTGAAATTTACAAATATTTCTTTCTTCCCTGAGTTTATGATTATAATAACTACTTACTGACAAAAAATGAATATTAATCTTGAATATAAGCTTATAAAGTATCAGGCTCTCCTTTACAAACAAATAAAATAAACTGTGTTTTTAAGTTCCACCTTTGAAAATGGAGTTCCGAAGTATCTACCGGGAAAAAAATATTTACAAAAAAGAAAGTTGCATAATAAAATTCATACTTTTGAATCATTTTAAATAAAACATACAAGAATTCGATCTCCGGAAACTTCCGGATCACGGTTAGCGAATTGAAATTTACAAATATTTCTTTCTTCCCTGAGTTTATGATTATAATAACTAAGATGATAACTGAGATGAGATCGAATGGGGCATCGACAGCGGGATCAAGTACCATCCAATCTTACGAAACTGAAAAGTGCAGTTCATCGGGAAAGGGGTCAAACTCCTCCTACCACTTACCAACATCTCATAGAATCTATGCCAAGAAGAATACTAGCAGTATTACGGGCTAGAGGTGGTCCAATATTGTATCAAGGGGATGGCCATAATAATTTGGCCACTTAGCGTGTATATATGAAGCTTTTACTGATTGGATTTTTTGTTGAATAATTGATTTAAATCAATTATTTTTTTCATTAACAAACCACAACTCTGATGAAATGTATTAATAATGCTTAATAATATTATTTAAAAACATTACTATAACTAAATACTTAATATTTATAACTAAAATGGTTGAATTTATTATAAATCATTATTATATTAATGATATTTTTTACGAATATTAAACAACAGAAACAAAATTTTCTAATTTACCTCTTCAGGAGGCTCATTGTTATCTTTCCATGAAGCATCAGAACCTTTTTGCCTAGGGAAAAAGTATAAATAAACGATAAGAAAGTTAATCTACTAACTTTAAATCATACAAATGCCTATAACTCTATAACTTAAAAAATAATTAGCATTTTGTATTTTCTTTAATAACATTCACAAGTTCAACTATATAACATATCTAAAAGCATATAATTATAATGTCAAGTATAGTCGGTTACATTTAGAAATTTTTTTAGTCTTAAGGCTAATATGGATCTATTTTGGAAACTAATAAAAACCTTTTTAAGAAGCACATTAATATTTATTCATATAAATTAAAAATTATGAAAGACAATTATTTAGAAATAATAATTCTACATGATGCATATATCTTTAAGCAAACATTATGTATGTAATCTTCAGTATTTTTAAGACTTGATTAATATTTATATCATACATAGCTCAGATTAAATAAAAATTATGATGAATTTAAATGTTCAAAACAAACTGAAAATTAATTATTCATTTATTTAAACATTACTTTGAGAATGTTCCATTCATGCATGAAAACAAATTATGTGTTTAGAGTCAAATGTTATTCTAAGAAATTTTCTAAATATTATGCTGATGCTGAGTTCTCACTAGGAAAAAAAAAAGGGGCAAGGTGCTTCCTCACAGAAAAAGGCAATTGAGTTTTGAAAGGGTGCTCACTTATCACTGTAAAAAATTATCAAATGTGTAATATTATGTAATAACTGAATTTGATCCTCAACAATTTTTACATTACCTTCTTATACTATTTCATGTGTGCACTGCAAAAAGTAATACTTACTCCTATCAAAATTAAAGAAAAATTTGAAATCTTTAAAAAATAAAGACATCCTAAAGACAATCATTGTCCACAAATTTTTTCGAAAAAAGTAAACTAAAGTTATTAATTGATAAACAACTTGAAAGCTTTTTTCCATAATTTACATTAAAAGTTGAATGACGAAATTAAAAGTTGACAATGAACATTTAAAGGGGCATTTTTAAAAAAAAGGTATTTATTTAAAAATAATTTTAACACTTAGAATCACTTGCAGTGACATTTATTAATATACCCTCCCCCGAAGAAAGAGAAATTTAAAATTTAGTTATTAATAATAATATAAATTAATTAAAAATAAAATTATAAAATAAAAATAAATATAATATAAAAATAAATATAATATTTATAGAATATAAAAATTAATTTCTAACAAATTAAATATTTGTAATAATAATCAGAAATAAACCTATAAACTCAAAATAATTTTACCCGTGTAATTATTATTTAAATAGTGAATTATTTTTTTTAATGGAATATGAATAAAAAAAGTAGTGCTTTTAAGGGATGGTGGCTTATTTTTACAAGTAGGGCAAAGAGGTGCATCAAAGGGCAGGCAGGGTGGGCCATCCTAAAAATGCTTAGGTAGAACACCGATTATGCTAATAGCACTCAGAAAATTTGTACAAATCCAACCAAGACCTTTCATGAAAACATTTGCAAAAAAAGTCTGCATTAACTGTATTTTCTTGAGTCAAAGTCAATAAATTATTTTAGATTTTTAAATAAAATATTTTCATGCATTTGGTGCTAACATTTAATTTCTCCGCACTTGAAAACATTGTTCTTAACCTAATACAATAATAATCATCTTAAAACCAATGCGCATAGCACAATTTACATTCCTCAATCAAAGAGTATATTTTTAAAAAAATATTTTTCACTCAAAGGATGTACAATATTTCCCAAAATATTTTGTTTTCCTAAAATATTTTGTTGCCTAAAAGTTTTGATTGTGATAGACTTTTCTTATATTTGTAGTTACCGTACAGGTAAGATAAATTTTACAGAGGTGTAAATATATTACTAAAGTGTAAGTAGACCACAAAACTTTAATTACAAAAAGGCACAAAAGTTGATTAATACACAAAAATACAGTATTGACTATTTGCCTAAAAATAACTACGCAAAAATTCAAACACAAGAATGTAAAAAAAAAAAAAAAAATTTATCAATAAATTTAATTGCATGAAAAAATATTTTTCATGTCATTCACTACATCCATACTTGTTTAAATGTATCAACAAACCAAAATTTGGAAAAGAGAAAAATAAATTATGAAATACATTTATCAGATATTAGTTCAATGATATCATGTAAAAGTTAGCTTAATAGACATAAATTTTTTTAAAGTAATGTAAAACATTCCCTCAACAGCCATTGTGGGCCAGGGAGGTCAAGAAGGATAAGGGTCTACAATTACGTAATCAATGGCAATATGGTCAGCATTGTGCACAGGTTGCCATTACTTCCTAGACAAGCTGGAACCCATCTAAAGGAAGCTGGGTAGGCTTCAAGTCGATGCTGGGAATGGAACCCCAATTCTTCAGTGTCTTAACCACTAAACCACAGCGGCTGATTACTTTTTAGATTTAAGAACTAGAATTTATTATATTTTTATACCTTAGATTTAATTTTTTAAAAATAATCTGAAAAATTACTAAAAATAAATAAAATCTCCAAAACTAATTTGAAAGGTGGATTTTTTTTTAGGAACATGGGACATCAATGAATATTTTTTTTTGCATGTAAAAGAAAAGAAATTTTTTTTTACTAGATAATAGATAGATTTTGAAGATAGAGTTGGAACTTTAGTTCATTTAGTTACACACAATTAATTTAGCTAGGTTGATCTCAATTAAAACCAAATGGTCCATTCTTCTAAGTAAATATATGGGAGATAAAATTTGTTTAAATTATTTTATAGTTGCAAGCTGCTGATGTTCAACTTGGGATACGAAATAATTTTTGATTTTTATCATTTATTTTTTTTAAAACATAATGTAAAACATTATATAATAAAAATCTAACAGTTAAAGTTATTTTTTTAAGCGAATAAAAATTAAGTAGCTCTAAATTACACACTTCATTAGAGCACTAAAAAATCATTTAAGTAGCACTCCATATAAATGCGGCAGAGAATTTAATCTACAGAATAACACAATGATTAAACTTATGTTTAGAACCATATTAAAGTTTTTTTAATTAAAAAACTAAACTATGATTATTAAATTAAACTAATCAAAAATAAAATTACTTACTGTCTAAGCATGTCGATAAACACATATGAAGTAATCTCATCTTTATGTGGTGCATAGAACACATCAGATCCTACTTCAATACCTTTCTCAATAATATCTTCAGGTGTATTAAATAACACTGTATAAAAGGGTTCAATAACAGGTCCAAAAACTTCAAAAATCTATAATAGAGTGAAAGAACTTATGCACATGTAATCTTCATTTAAAAAATAGTAAAGTATTAAAAAAAATGCATAGTTTAAAGTAATTTTTAACTAAACATGAACAAAATTGGTTAAATAGTTTCCGGGCAGTAAAAAAAAAAAATATATCATTTTCGAATTTTAATTTCGTATGAACTATTTAGTCAATTTTGTTCCAGCTTTGACTTCTGCCATTTAAATTTACTTAATTTTGTTTCTTTATTTTCTATTTCTTGAACTGTTTTAATATATTACTGCAATATATCAAAAGTACAGATGGGGACTTCCTAAGCAATTTCAGGCTTGTAACAGCAGTGAAAATTGAAAAATAATAAGTAAAATAAAATTTATGCAAAAGATCATTAAGAATGAAATTCTAAATAGCTATTATGTAGTTGACAGATACTTACTCGCCCAAGTGGCTCATCTGGTGCTAAAAACAAAACTGAATCAATATCTAGAGGCTTTCCATCTTTTGCAGCTTGAATTACAACTGCAATAAAATTTGAAATATTGAGCAAGGGACAAGAAAAAAATATAATATACCTCTGCATATTAAAATTAAGTTAAAGATGAATATGCAATAATACCTAGCAATATATTCATTGGAAATTGATAGATAAAAGTGCTGTGAAAAAGTCTGTCAGGATCAGCTTAGAAATTTTTATAACACCGGCCTGAAAAATTTTAAGTATGAAAAGATATTTGTAATGCAATAACTGTTTTTTATTTTTTTCATTGTTCAGTATGCTGGCTTCAAATTATAACCAGCATGACAGCCAGGGGTGGGCCATGGCCTTCTCTAGGACATCTCACCATGCCTTTCTCTTTGTTGATAGTTCGTGCTAATTCAATGTTGTCCTAAAATCTGCGCAAATGGAGTCCAGCCATCAAAGTCTCGGATGTTCTCTAGCTCTACTGCGAATTAATTTGTGTTTGAATATCTTAAGTGTTGAGCTAGTTGTATATAAACGATTGGTTTCAAAAAAGTTATAACTCTTCTATCACAAAAAGATTTTTTACAAAATGAGTTTAAATAAAAGATTAAGTGTCTATTTTAATAAATGTTGGAGTAGGGTAGAAACTAAAACATTGCTTTGTAGACAAGGGAAATTACTAGGTCTCTAGATGCATTTGTAATTTTTCTTACCTTACTAAATTTGCAAACAAATTGATTTATTCAAACTTATTAAGTAAGCACTTTACAATTACACAAAATATACACAAATAAAATGTTTTAAGTTATTTTTTTAATCTTAAAACAATGAGAAAAAATAGAATAGAATAGAGAAATTATTGCAAAATACCCAGTTTGAAAACAATTGCATGAACTTGACCAATTCTTTTCAAATCTTCTTCGTCAACAGATATTTTTAGATACTCAATGGGAGGCAAATCCTAATAAAAGAATTATTTTAATAAAACTTGCTTATACATGAGCAAAAAATACATTTTAAATATTAAAAAACTCATGTCTAAAACAAAAATGATTCCTTTATTATATTTTATTTACAAGGCATTTTCAAATACAATTAAATTAAAATTATCAAAACTACCTATAAAAATAAACAATTAATGTTCTACCCAATCTCAGCGTAATGTGCTAAAATTATTAAAGTCAATCAGTCCACAGCAATAAAATTTGGAGCACACTGGTTTAAATCACTTGTTTTTTTCTTTTTTTTTTAAAAAAAAAAGAAAAAACTATTTATTCTTTTTTTATTTTATTATAAGAAAATAGTTCATTGAAGTCAAAATATTATTGGTGACGGACTGGGAAACATCCCTGAGGATGATCCGCAGAGATGCCATCATAATTTTGATCCTCTGCAGAGGGGATGGCACCCCTGCTTTGATAGCCCGACGACATGCACATGAAGTAGAGCACTTTACGGTAGAACAGTTTAATGAGGACCGATACCGCTCACCCTCCGTCTCTAAGCAGACTAATCCAAGTGGTCTTCCGCACACTGACCACAGTCAATGATGCTTGACTTCGGTGATCTGCTGGGAACCGTGTCTTAACAATCAGCTCACTGCGGGACTTTTGATGACTTAAGGAATCCATTTTAATACATTAGTATCACAACATGTTGAAATATTAAAAAGTATTACCAATTGGGTAATTAAAAATATCAAATAAGAAAATGGAAAAACTGGACTGCAAGAAATAAAGAGGCATAAGTTTTAAAAAAAAACTAATCCAGAATATTAATCAAAAGATTCTAAATTAATACACATCAGCAATCATTAAAACACTGGAATATGAAACTTTGGCACATGTGATATTTTTGACAAAATTGGAACTTAGATGACAAGATGATCCATCCATATACTATAATAAATCAAGTGTCATCTGTCATTTTAGAGGACTTTGTTTAGAACTCTTTCCGTAGTTGCGCAGTGATTCATCAGGGAGCAAAGGGGTCTCAATGTAAACCATACATAAGGAATTAGCATATATTTTTCAGCAACGTACGTCATGAGTTAATAATTAACATATCTTTTTCTTTTCAAGTAATTCTTAACAGAACAGTTATTGTTAAACATTTAGCTATTGGCATAATGTTACGTAAATTAGAAAACTGAATAAGTATGGTTAGGTGTCCATTTCTTGCTATCTTCTTCTCTAACCTGTTTAGAAATGGTAGTGCTCAGTTTCAAGTCCAGTAGATGTGATTAATGAAAGATCAACACTAATTTTTTCTAGATATATAAATATAAAAAAAATATATAAAAACATTTCCTTATAATTTTTTTTTAATTTACTTTAAAAAATAAAAAACCATTTTGCATGCTTCTAATCTTTGATTTTTCTTAGAAACAAATTGAAATTTATTCCTGAGTAAAATTTCTTATTTATTTTACATGAAATGGCATAGACAAAACACAAAGCTAAGTAATAGCCAGAACATAAAAAATTACAAATAGACCTTATAATGCATATAAGTTTCAATGCTTTGCTGGAGCATTTTCAGCTCCCAGTACGAGACAGAAAAATGGCAAAGAATAAAACAGCATCATATGAAATTAATAGCTACAGAAAAATGATATTAACTCATATAAAAATGATTTTCTTCTCTTTCAGTATCTTAAAAAAAAAAAGCTTATAAAATTGCAATTTGAAAGTTATTTCATTATTATTTGTATTTCTAAAGTAACAAAGCAATGCTTAGTATAACGAAAAAAGGCAACAGTTTAATAAAACTTTTATAAAAAAATAATTGAATCAAAAAATTACCTCAATATCCAACTCCCCTTTTGTTTTCACACAATTGACTTTGGGTGTAGAGCTAAATAAAAAAACATTAAATTTAAAAACATGTCTGCAGAAAATTTAAAGGCCAGTTGTTAAACACAACTTATACTAAGTGCAGAAAGTTCCGAAGTATATTATTGGATAGCAGTTTATAGAAAAAATTATTTTTCTCAAAAATTGCTATTACCCTGGGGAAAAAAAATATCCATCTCAGTCAAAGATTCAATAAAATTATTATGCATTGTCTTATTCAAATTATTATTTTTTTAAAGTTTGCAGCATACATCAAATTAAAAAAATTTTGAACATTATAGTTTTACACAATATTTTTTAAGGATCATACACCATATGAAAAGGAAAAAAAAAAACTGGTAGTAGTACCGAAGTACAGCTTTTTACGTTGAATTGAAAAAATTCCCGTACTAATTTTATTGTTTGATATAATCGGTATAGAATTCTAATGCATTTCATTCAAATGAATTTAACTGAAAGTGGCTGGTACAAAAAATTTGAAATTATATCTTGAAATTTCAAATTTACATGTTGTGCTATGCTTTGCATTCATGTACTGACAGCATAATATTTCATCAATAAAATAATATTTTATGCTCTTTCAGAATTGACTTTATTTTAAAAAAATTTATTTTTAATACAAAATTTGGTCTCAGCTTTTTAATCTCTATGTTGAATCTATTTATGAATATTAATTTAGCTTTTTTTTCACTTAATTTCATTAACTATTATAATTATATATAAATAACCTAATTGATTTTTAAGTATTATAGATGACGATTTATAATTTTTGATATGTAGTATAACATGAATTATGTAATTGTAAAATTCAATTTTTTCCCTCAATTTTGTCTACTACTAAATGACTACCTAGGTAGACCTATTAGACCACTAAATTTTTATTGCTGGTGAGAACTATATTATATATATATATATA